GCTCCGGCTAGCGCTCCCCCCTCGCCTCAGCCGTGTGAACGCGCCCATTGGCCGCGAGGCGTTTCGGGGGCTGTCACTCCCCGCCGGAGACACCTTGCAGCTTGATTAACGCGAATTAATTGCCGCCCGTGTCCCCGCGCTTTCCGGGCGGTTTCCGCCCTCTTTGCTGTCATTATGGCGCTGATGGGGCTCTTAATGGGGTGATTAGCCGCGGGGGGGTCGGGGGCACACGGAGGGTTGCTGCTTTCTGCTCGCCTCCCCGCAATTAACTGCTCCGCCGCTCGCTCCGAGCAGGGAAAGTTTTGCTGAGCGTTCGAAATACAAAATAATAATAATAATAAAAAACGAACGGTGAGGAAAAGTGCTGAAACCCTTCCCGAAGCCTCAACGCAGAGGCGGCAGCTCTGAGCCCGAGCTGAGCTTCGGAACTGCGGATTTCGTTGAATCCATTCGTTGAAATCCGTTGCGAACGGGCGGAGAGCCTTTTGCAAAAGCAAACGCGGGGCCACCGTGTGCCGAACTCCGGAGCGGCGGCGCTGCCGTCAGTTCGGCAATTACCCCTCCAACGAACGCCCCGGCCTGGCTGGAGCTGCACGCCCCGCACAGTTTCTCTTTTCCCCCTCCCGCCCCGTCGGGACATTTCGCCGCTCTCGCACGGCTCCCACCTTCCGACCGCTCCGACCGCTCCTGCCTCCTCCCGGACTCTTTTCCTGGGGTCAGACAAGAGGAAAACGTCCGCGCCCGCGTGCGTGGAGCCGTGCTATTTGAGAGAGATACTGCGGCTTAATTCTCAAATAGTCGATTTCTTCCTTTTCCCCCCTTCCCGGCCGGGCAGCTGCATCTTGTCCCTCTTCCAAAGCCGCTCTCGGCCGGCAGCTTGGAGGCGGCAGGGCCCTCCCGGGCCGCACGGCTGCCAGCTGTCGGGCAGCGGCCAGGCAGGGCCCCCCACCTCCTGCCCTCCGCCCCGGCTCAGGGCTGGCTGTGAGCGGGGCAGGGAACAAAGGAGCCCCGCAGGTGGACAGGGACGGGAGGAAAGCCCCGTCAGTCCCTCCTCTGCCCCAAATCTGGGGGTGCAATGGACCTGTCTCGAGGCTGCACGTCCCCCCATGTTCTCGTATTAGGAGAAATTCCTCCTGTGAAAGGATGGTCAGGCATTGGCACAGCTGCCCGGGGAGTGGTGCAGTCACCGTCCCTGGAGGTGTTCCAGAACCACAGTGATGTGGCACTGAGGGATGTGTCAGTGGGTATGGTGGGGTGGGTTGGGGTTGGATTTGGGGATCTTAGAGGTCTTCTCCAACCTGAATGATTCTGTGATTCTATGATTCATCTGTTGGCATTGCTTTCACAGCATCCACCAGATTGAGAGATGCACAGGAACTGGTCCCAGTGAGAAACGGGGCAAAGACCCCCATGGGGTTTTCCAGCTCTCTGCAGCATGCTAGGCTCTGGTAACCCACCCAATCCAACCGTAGCACCCTGTTCAGGATGGAAATGGGCACTTGGAACAGCACAGAGGTTGGGTTTGGGGCCAAGAATGGGAGCCAGAAGATGGATCACGGATGGGATTGGGATTGTGTTATAATCACACACGTAGGGAACTGATTTGAATGGTGAGTCTGATGCTGGCATTCCCTCTCTTGAGTGGAGCACTGGCCCTCAGGGAGTCACAAGGAGATCTCCAGTTCAACTCTGCTCTCTGTGCAAAGTTATGGGGTGCAGGCAGAGGGGGTCCAGTCCTCACTCCTGAGTGCACACAGTATTGTGCCATGCCCAGGCAAGGCCCCGTGTCTCTCTGTGGCTACATTTGGTGTTCTCAGCAGCTACAGGTGCTCTCACTGCTCATGTCCCAATGTCAGTGTGGCTGACATTCATTAAAATGAATTATTAATATTATTATTATTTCAAAACTGGACTCTCCAAGGCAGAAGTGTCCCCCATTTTGCCAGTGCATGGCATCCCAGCATTCAGCAGGTAGGAGCTCATTAATTCAAGTGGTGACACTGTCAATGTGGGTCTACCCCAGATGCAAGCTTTCTCCTTTGGTTGAGCTGAATCCTGCAGAACCCTGGGGCACCTGAGGCCGTGCAGGACCTTAGAGGGTAAATCCCCATACAGCAGAGCCCAAGTTCATCCTGGCAGCCCCTCTTTCATGAAGGCTGAAAAGCAGCTTAGGAGCAGTCCCAGGGGTGAAGCTGGTGGAGCACCAGGACATGCTGCCCCGTGTCCCACTGGCCAGATGGATCCCAAATGGTTTATTCAACACGGGTGTCCCCATCCCTGTCAGCCCCTGCTCTGCAGCCATGGTGTCCCTGGAGGAGCGGGATCTGCTGGCCGTGGCAGGGCTCGCACCTCCACATCGGGGTGAGGGACAAGGGATGCTGTGCTGCGCTGCTGTCTCCGCAGGATTGAGCTCTTTCAGTTCCAACACCTTGTCGTTTTCCTACAAAGCAGACCTAGCTGCCCTGAAAACCCATTTCCTCGGGGCGCCG